GTAATGTCCATATCCCCCCTATAGTAATGTCCATATCCCCCCTATAGTGATATCCATATCCCCCTATAGTGATGTCCATATCCCCCTATAGGAATGTCCATATCCCCCTAAAGTGATGTCCATATCCCCCTACAGTTATGTCCATATTCCTCTATATTGATGTCCATATCCTCCTACAGTAATGTTGATATCTCCCTACAGTGATGTTGTTATTCCCCCTATAGTGATGTCCATATCCCCCCTATAGTAATGTCAATATCTCCCTATAGTGATGTCAATATCCCCCTATAGTAATGTCCATATCCCCCTATAGTGTTGTTCATATCCCCCTATAGTAATGTCCATATCCTCCTATAGTGATGTCCATATCCCCCTATAATAATGTCCATATCCTCCTATAGTGATGTCCATATCCCCCTATAATAATGTCCATATCCTCCTATAGTGATGTCCATATCCCCCTATAGTAATGTCCATATCCCCTATAGTGATGTCCATACCCCCCTATAGTGATGTCCATATCCCCCTATAGTGATGTCTATATCCCCCTATAGTGATGTCCATATCCCCTATAGTAATGTCTATATCCCCCTATAGTGATGTCTATATCCCCCTATAGTGATGTCCATATCCCCCTATAGTGATGTCCATATCCCCCTATAGTAATGTCCATATCCCCCTATAGTAATGTCCATATCCCCCTATAGTGATGTCCATATCCCCCCTATAGTAATGTCCATATTCCCCTATATTGATGTCCATATCCTCCTACAATAATGTTGATATCCCCCTACAGTGATGTTGTTATTCCTCTTATAGTGATGTCCATATCCCCCTCTAGTGTTGTTCATATACCCCTATAGTGATGTTGTTATTCCCCTACAGTGATGTTGTTATTCCCCTACAGTGATGTTGTTATTCCCCCTATAGTGTTGTTCATATCCCCCTACAGTTATGTCCATATTCCTCTATATTGATGTCCATATCCTCCTACAGTAATGTTGATATCTCCCTACAGTGATACTGTTATTCCCCTTATAGTGATGTCCATATCCCCCTACAGTTATGTCCATATTCCTCTATATTGATGTCCATATCCTCCTACAGTAATGTTGATATCTCCCTACAGTGATGTTGTTATTCCCCTTATAGTGATGTCCATATCCCCCTCTAGTGTTGTTCATATACCCCTATAGTGATGTTGTTATTCCCCTACAGTGATGTTAATATCCCCTCTTGTGATGTATCGTTATACATATTGATCCTAATCACATCTTTTGTTATGATATCTGCATCTCTTGAACTGTTACACTAAAGTACAATCATGCAGGCTCCCTCCATCACAAAAAACTCAGGTATTATTGATTACCTGTAAAACCTGCTCACATACCTGAGTATTTATCCTAATTGCCATTAGCTCAGCTTCTTTAACAAGAGATACATACAATAAGTAGCACATCTGATACATTTCAAAGTAACATTTCCTATGATCCACAATTATCTCTTTCTTCTGCAACAAATTGTTAACTATTTTGCACCATTACGTCATTTTTAAAGTGCAAGAATACTATCTGGAAAGGTCAAATAATGGGTTACCAAGAGTAATTTATCTTGTCTAGCAATCAACATACGTTCAAACTAAATACAAGAGGCCCATGGGCCTTAACAGTCACCTGACATCCGATTCAAATTAGGACTGTCATCCAGGGGCCAATTCATACTTTTCATCGGTCGGAGTGACCTTGCTGCATCGTCCATTAATTTTTCTTTGTGAACACAATAACTTCAGGAAATATGAACCGATTCTCATGACACTTTGTATGCAGCTTTGTAACAATGAGGTCTTGTATGAGTTTGAATACCGGACCAATTTGACCATGGTAATTCACCTTTTGTTGGACCCTGTGAACACGATAACTGAAATAAATGAAATAAATGGGTGTGACTCCAATTTTGACCCAAGGAGTCTGTTTTGAACAAACTTGGGAACTGTATGTCTTCTGTTCTTGGTTAAAAGAAACAAGTAAAAAAGTAAATCAATGATTTATTAAATAAGGCAATTTTTTTTAATAGCACCTTGTTAGTAGCAAAAATGCGTCATGAAAAAAAACCCAGGTGTACCACATGAATTTACATCTATTCTTGTGTAATGTCAATCAACATCACAGGGACAAATAATAATATAATGACAAAGGGCAATAACTCTGCAGGTTACCGTCAAATAATTACCGGACAAAATTTCATTGAACTCCGTCAACATTTATTCAAGTTATCGTGTTTACAAGGTCCAATAATAATAATATTACAAAGGTTAATAACTCTGTAAGTTACTGTCAAATAATTCCCATTTTCGAACTCGTCCGAGATCTTATTGATATAAGGCCGCATACAAAGTTTCATTAAACTCGGTTAACATTTACTCAAGTTATTGTGTTCACAAGGTCCAATAATAATATTATTACCACATGCAATATCTCTGTAAGTTGCTGTCGAATAATTCCCATTTTCGAACTCGTTCGAGATCTTTTTGATATATGGCTTCATACAAAGTTTCATCAAACTCTGTTAACATTTACTCAAGTTCTCGTGTTCACAAGGTCCAATAACAATATTATTACAAAGGGCAATAACTCTGTAGGTTACCGTCGAATAATTCCCATTTTCGAACTTGTCCGAGATCTTATTAATATATGGCTGCATACAAAGTTTCATTAAACTCGGTTAACATTTACTGAAGTAATCGTGTTCAAAAGAAAAGTTAACGTACTACGGACGTCGACGGACAAAAGGCTATCACAATAGGTTACCATGACCTATGGTCAGGTAACCTAATAAAATATAAAAATATCATAGAATATTTTTAGGGGTTAAAAATAAGTGACATAAACAATATTGCTCTTTGTGATATCGACTTTATTTGCTGAGCCAATTGTGCAAGACTAAACAATTTTAAACTAAAACAGTTGCACTTTGAAGAGTTATGTCCCTTGGATTTAATGTTGTCAGATTTTGATAAACAAGATACGTTATGAAGAGTCATGTGCTTGAGATAGTTTCAGACATATTGAAACGGTGGTGTGATTTTCACATCACATCTTAAGGATCCCTGTACCACTGTCAAAAACTGTAACTAAGCGTTGGACACAGTTTTTTCCAACATGACTATAAATTTGATAAATCATTTCTAAAATGAAAAGTACACCTTGTGGGACATTTATGAGAAGTAATAAAGATGAAATTAACAAAATATTATCAACAACAGCGTTCTGAGTGGAAAAATTCAGTGGGGCTACACCAGAATTTGAACCTAAGACTTCAGAGTATTTTACTATTGCTCTAACAAATTAAGCTACCTGGTCAACGGAAGTGTTCTGGCCTAAACTATGCTACAGTTATATCCAAACAGAAGCTAAGGGAGGTTACTGTATTTATGAACAACCACAGTGCAGTGGCACAGGGATCCTTAAGTTGAACTTTTGTTTATCTGCTATCAGCTCCATGTATTTGGCAGTTTTCTTTTGTTTCTGTTAAAAATCTGCACTGGTTGTGAGTCTTATCATAATTAATATTTAAGACCCTTGGTTACATTGGTTCTGTCATTTGCTTCCAGTACTTTTAGAGTGATTTTTAAAAAAAAATCCCAAGTCTGATTTTCATTTTCTTTCATGCTATTGAAGTTTGAAATAAAATGTGTACTGTTAAAAATAGCTCCCCTAAATGACGTATTGTATTTTACAAATTATGTAAAGATGTGCAGTCTTTATCATGCATCTTGGAAACTGTTTCTAAGCAACTGGGTTTCATAATGTCAAGAATGTCAGTAATATGCATTTAAGTCCTCAAATGAATGTTAAGACACATAAACATGAAGCATGCTTGTGGATCTTCCTCATCCCACTCTAGGCAAAACACATAAAAAGTAGAGTAACCTCCCCTTAATTTTATTTTGGATATTACTGTAGTGTGACTGTGGTCGCTTTCATTTATCACGATCCAAATGGTTGAAGAGTTTTTCGTTTATGAAATAAGGCCGTACTTAGTAATCTGATGCTGCTTTCAGGCAAGCCTTGACAAAGCCGTGCAAGGCCTGCAATATGCATTTGCAGGTCCTGCAGGATTTATACCCGAACATGTTACATTTGAAAACAGACAAACCAGATGATCTGCATAAACAAACAGGCCTTGGGTCAGGGTATTACAGTTGAACAGGTAGCAATATATAATGATCAGGTGTCCGGCAGGGTTCAAATCTTAGTCTGGGCCCATTGTATTTTTTTTTATTTTTAATTCAAATTTATTAACTAAATAATGGGCCCACAAAGGGGCAAACAGTTTAACATTTCACGAAAATAATATACATAAACAAGGAAACATCCAACATCTACAGGAATTTGCCAAGGCATATATCTAACAGTAGCTTGTATAAATTAGGACTGACTACTGAGTGGGGGAAAACATCTGATATCTGCTGACCAAGCCCCAGAATCCCAAGATTACTTAACTATATATTCCGTATTGCAGAGGTATCTTCTCTTGGGAGCAGGTATTGATTGTTATGTCATTGGTTTGTGTGAGAAAATGACGTCGTTTTCTCAAAAATTGATGACGTTACTCTCACAAACAAGTGACGTAACAATCAATACCTGCTCCCAGGAGAAGATAACTCTGCAATACGCAAAGATGGAATAAGTGTTCTTAATTCAAATACATGTATTCAGAAAATTCACAACTCCTCTCAAACTCTTTATTCAAATCTTTTTCAAATAAATTCATAAATATTTCACTACAATGTTTTTCAATTCATGTTTTAAGAAATAAAATCCTTGAAATGAATCTTATTAAAAGAGAGGTGAGATTTTTTTTTTAAAATTATGCAAATATGCGATTTCATCAGCAAATATAGCACAGATCAAATGAAACCTTTTGTACCTGTTGTGAAAATCTCAATGAATGCCCTTTAAACGCAATGGAAAATTACAAACATGCTGTCCGTGGCTTACCTGTCGGAGAGGTTTTTTCGGAAAACCCTGAAGTTTTCCTGAGCTGTACTAACTTCTACTGTCCCTCCACCAAAGTATTGCTTTTGTAACACGTGTGCTGATTGGTTCCGAACCAGTAAAGCACCTGAAATAGACAAAATAGACAGTTTTCATGCAACACATTCTTCACTTTCATTCATTAACTTTTTTTTTTTTTTTAAAAATTAGATATTGATATATACTTCTGTCGTTGATTAAAGTGTACCCTTGTAACTTTCACCATCTCCTCACAGGTAGAGCAAGAGGAACAAGAGGCCCAATGGGCCTGCATCGCTCACCTGTTATTAATCTAACACTTGTATTCTTAAGATTTCATAAGAACCTATTAAAAGATTTAAACATAGGTTGAAAGTGGATCAAGGTCATTCATTTGAACTAACATGGTAGTCCTTCATCCCAGTATGCTACAGGCCGAATTTCAGTACCCTGGCCCTTTTGCTTATTGAAAAGAAGTCGCTTGGAGATTTTACAACATTTGACCCCTGTGACCTTGAAAGTTGGTCAAGGTCATTCAGTTGAACAAACTTGATAGTCCTTCATCCCAGCATGCTACAGGCCCAATATCAGTACCCTGGGCCTTTTGGTTATTGAGAAGTTGTTTGAAGATTTTAAGACATTTGATCCCTGTGACCTTGAAAGTGGGTCAAGATCATTCATTTAAACAAACTTGGTAGCCCTTCATCCCAGCATGCTACAGGCCTAATATCAGTACCCTTGGCCTTTTGGTTATTGAGAAGAAATTGTTTGAAGATTTAAGACATCTGACCCCAGTGACCTTGAAAGTGGGTCAAGGTAATTTATTTGAACAAACTTGGTAGCCCTTCATCCCAGAATGCTACAGGCCCAATATCAGTACCCTGGGCCTTTTGGTTATTGAAAAGAAGTCGTTTGAAGATTTTATGACATTTGACCCTTTTGACCTTTGAAAGTTGGTCAAGGTCATTCATTTGAACTAACTTGGTACTCCTTCATCCCAGCATGCTACAGGCCGAATTTCAGTACCCTGGCCCTTTTGCTTATTGAGAAGAAGTCGCTTGAAGATTTTAACATATTTGACCCCTGTGACCTTGAAAGTGGGTCAAGGTCATTTATTTGAACAAACTTGGTAGCCCTTGATTTCAGCATGCTACTGGCCAAATATCATCTTCCTAGGCCTTTTGGTTACCGAAAAGAAGTTGTTTAAAGCAAAAATTTGAAGCCGGACAGACGGACGGACGGACGGTACGACGGACGGACGGACTGACTGACGGACGGACGGATGACGGATGCGGCACCATAACATAAGCTCACTTGCACTTCGGGCAGGTGAGCTAAAAACTGCATTTCCATTATTTAGTACAATGTAGTAGATTACACTAAAATTTGCTTATATTGGACCATGTTTTATCTGGAAAACTGTACAAATCCTTCCATACCCCTCCCCACTTGAAAAATGTGCTCTCAGAATTGACAATTTTTTTAAATTATAGGCAGACCTTCAACTATATGGCCAAAAGCTCAAGTTTATGATCGACTGAATGTAGAAAACAATGACTTTTCCAGGGTAATAATTTAAAATACTTATTTTCATAGAATTGCTTAAATTTTGTGGGATCTGTTTTTCTTGGATTTCGGGTCTGTAGGGGCCTTGGCACTTTGTGTTCCTGTAAGCATGAATTAACTTGCTATTAATTATGCAGGTTGTTTATTGTATGAAATAAGAATCTGGTAAAAACACAACAGAAGGGTGTTCATTTCAGACAGCTTCGTGGTGTTGTCATGGAATTAGACTGCTGTATATCAGGATTTTTTTGTGAAGTATCAAATTTCCTGCTTTATTCCCAAAAAGGTAAAATTGCAAAAGGGGAATTAGAGCTTTTCATCACATACAGAAAATTACCATGCACTTAGGTGATAGTATGAGCATGGAGATAAAAATGTAAAAAGTAAAACACAGTTTGATATCAAACTAATTTACGAAACATTTCCATCAAACTCAAATAACTTGATATATGGTATCATTCAATCCCAAAACAATGTCCTCACTTTTTTAACCAAACAATTCTTTGTATTTACAATTATATGGCTGCATGGAACGAACAATGATTGATTTTTGGTGATATTTTCTGGTTCATGAAAAAGTACTGCGGATATCATATCATATCATAAACTAAGACAGGTCTATTCCGTCTTCTCGTATTGCAGAGTTATCTGCTCTTGTGAGCAGGTATTGATTGTTATGTCATTGGTTTGTGTGAGAAAATTACGTCGTTTTCTCAAAAATTGATGACGTTACTTATCATAAACAAATGAGGTAACAATCAATACCTGCTCACAAGAGCAGATAACTCTGCAATACGAAAAGACGGAATAGACCTGTCTTAGTTTAGAAACCTATGTCTTGATGTTTAATGGGAGAAATAACATATAAGAAATCTACATCTTGTATGTATCATTAACATCGACTCCTTATTTCGTTTTTGTTGCTTAGGTATATGCTTGACCTCACTCTTTGAGAAAATTGGACCCCTACGGCAATAAATAAACAGAGAAGAGTTCCAGAACAAACAGAGCTTTAGTAATTACGAGAGAATAGATTTGTTATGATTTATTTCTTCCTCTCAGGGATCGGCTCTAAGTGTCCGAATCACGGAGGAAGATTCTTCCCGCTGTTTATACACACTGGTGATAATTATGTTTCAGATTTGTTGGCCCAGTGTGACATAGGAATTAATTGTAGTTTATTTGTGCGTAGTTAGCGAGGGTGTTTCTCCTTCCTAACTATGGCATGTGGAGCACTTCCTGCAGGAATGAAAAAACGGACAGAGAAAACTCATCGCTGTCTGAGCACGTGCTAAAGTTTATGGTAAAACAGTATACAATATGTCATTAATATTGCATATATTCTTACACCGCAAAACTTGTATACACTCTGGCAGAAACACGTAAATGTCTTGTGTTCCTGTGTAGACGTTGGCAGACCTTGTACTCCTTCGATATACACATCTGCATGAGAGAGTACAGATTTGTCCAATATTTGTTGCATTCTTAGCAACATAAGGATGTTCTTGCTTTTTTATGCTCATTGAGCATGGCAGACGACACACAATAAATGTCTTCCATGGTGTAATCCAGGGGGAACCAGAGGCAGGTGCCCTTCATCAAGTCAGGGCAGTGTTTACAAGAAAGAACATTACTCTCTGTGAAGCTACACTGGTCAACGACTTCCAACCAAATAGCTCCCACATTTTACATTTTACAGTTTTTTACTGTATGCCAAATGAATGCTCCTCTTCCTTTCCAGACTTTTCCTGGGGTTTATGAGGTAAAACTAGAGGGCTTTTGATAATTTCTTGCTGAGAAAAACATGACTACCAGATGTGAACAGTCAAAGATGTCCCACAGCCTTTTCTACTTCGTCATGGCGATGCCTCAACAGGAGAAAGTTATCAAGAAATAATAAAAAAAAGTTCCTGTTGCTAAGCTAATGAGTTTTCTCTGTGTTCTTGAATTACAGCTCCCTATAACATAGCGTGGTAGAAACGTCTCCCATTGTGGTTATAAACTTTGTGGTTCTGCAGATTTTTCTGGTGATCGAGATATAGCGCGAGCAAAAAATTATCTTCCGATTCAATTTATCAATGAAACCAGCTACAACCTTGAACGTAAAATTTTGTGGGGATTCTGCCAAAGGAAATAAATAATGCCTCTACAGCTAATAATGAAGTTACAAATATCATATATAAAAATGGTCAGCAGAAATCAGGTTTAATGATTCAGAGCAAAAGACAAACTGATATCAACAAATAACATAAACCTGGAAAAGACAATCATTATTTAGGAACATGATAACTGACAACTTATGTTTTGTAATGCTAGTTACAAAAACACGACCTAATGGTTGTCAACATTCATTGATGAATGCTGACTTACATCAAATTTCGTTCCTATTTTAACCATCAGCTTCTAGTATGAAAGTATTTATAATTTTCTGCAAGATATACATTTCTTTATGTCTACTTGTGAAAGTGGTGATTGCGAATACAGAAATCTTGTAAAAAATTATTGGGGAACATTTAAACATTAATTAAATATTATACTGTTTGTTCATTTCATTACTTCATATTCTCATAATTAAACCATTTTGAAGCACATTGCAAGGGTAGGCCTATACAAATGGTTTTCATGATCACGAACAATCAATGTAAATGTGTACATGTGAAAGATAAACGGTTTGAAGAAAAAGAAATGATCTAACAGTTATCAGCTTTGAGAAACTAAGTAAGCATATACAATAAACCAATTTAAAATTATCACATTGTCATAAATGTTGTTAAACCATTGAAAAAAATTGGTCCAAAGCCTATTTGTGACCGGGTGAAATACTGTGCTGGGTGCCTCGGCATTGTATTTCAGTGGCTTGTATAAAAAACACCCCCCTATTTTCATTAAGGTTAGAGTCAAAATAAAAATTGAAAACGAAAACTTGAGAGGCAAAATTGTAGTGATAATTGCAATACGGAGAGCACGCTAATTTCATAATGGACAACATATTGGGGAGTTAAACACGGTCGCCCTCTGTGTGTATGTAACTCTACTAAAGCAATGATTCGGAAAATAACTTTTATTATACTTTTTTGTTTTATCTACGTTTGATAAGAAGTAGCAGACATGTCTGTTTCATATCTTGATTTATAATATTTTTTTCTTTCATGCCGTAATCGTGGAGCGAGATGAAATAAGTTAAGTAGTCTGTAGGTTGGTCTGAATGTTACATATTACACTACAAAGGCATATTAACTAAGTCGGCAGTTCAGGGCTTAAACATCTTATCAGGAAATTCATTCCTAATTTCGTAAGTCATTTAAGTGCTTATATAACTCTTTGTTTATCGATGTTTTTGTACCATACATTTCCGTTGAATTGGTGTGAACTTGATTATTACAAAAAAAGAATTGCAAGAATTTATCAAACCTATAATGTACAGACTTTTCTAGGCTTTTAATAAAAATCTCCTTATTTGTGATTAGTATTTGTCTCATCCAGATTTGGAAACTTCTGGCTTCGATTTCCAATCTAGCTCCATTGTATTCTTCTTTTGTACTTTTGACAATGTACGTGTTTGGGAAGGGGATAACCAAACATGGGTTGTACATTAAACTGGTTTTTTCTGGGGGCGAAAAAGAGAGAGAGAGAGTAAAGTGTGCAGTGCTAGGCCAAATGACTACCAATGACAAGATAGGTCAGTTATGTTAAGAGCATCTACATGTATCTACAGGTCTAAGAATTAAAACGTAGTGGGCTGGGTTTGGTTTGGTTTGTTTAACATCCTATTAACAGCTAAGGTCATTTAAGAACGTATATGTACCTACATGAGTGTCGCGTATGCATACTTGTGTGTAGGTGTGCCGGAGACAGGAAATGTTGGTGTATTTGCCTCCTTGCGATATCGCTTATCTGACACCAACTTTGGAGTGCTACCTCACTGAAATACCATGCCGAAGGCACCCAGCACAGTATTCCAACCGGTCACGAATGTGCTTAGGAGTAGAGTAACTCATACATATCAGTGATTTTGGGGACTCAGACATTTGAGTTATTGACTTAAGCTTGTCATCAAAATATATATATAAAAAAGAAGAAAAAAAATCTACAAAAATCACTGCATATTAATTAATAAGGTGGCACTTAAGAGTTCTAGAGCAAGTAAATGTAGATTCAAAGATGTGTCTCTTTTATCACTACATGTAATCGCAAAAATTCACTTCAAATTTAAAAAAATCTACTAGACTCTGCATGGCGACAAAATTTATAAATCTATTACCATTCTCTCCACACTGTATACTATTTATAAGGTATCAATTGTGAGGTAAAATGTTTACAGTTTTTTTGTCAATAAATACATGGTAAATCTTTGCTCTGTACTACATAATTTAATCCATGATATTATATAGAAGGCTTGGGCTCACTTAGTGATGACTAAATCATAAATAACGCTGTCTGTATTTGATCTCTGGAGTGCAGGGTGTGTAGGAGTAACAAATCATTACATATCTTATTCATGAAGTTCTCATTAATAACGAGTTATTAGGAAGCTGAACAAACCTCTGCCAAATTGATCACAAAGAAACCTTGGATGCATTATAAACATCAACATAAAATATGTCGCTCACATTCTTCTTCGAAAGGCTTCCATTGTTAGACATTTTTAATGAAAAGTAAGTAAACCCTGACTTATAATTTTATATATTCTCTGAAATAGAACATTTAGACACGCTTTTCCTCAATTACCATACCTTTTAATTTGACTACACTATAAAACAGTAGCAGAGCAACCTCGATATCCAGGGGTTATGCTCACTTTCGAACTCTACACCCCTGCAATATGCCATAGCAAAAACGAAGGCTCAGTGTGCGCCACACCTTGTGGATGAGACAAGAAGACTAGTTTGATAATTTGATGTACATCAAAAGAATCTTGTGGTCGCATAACATTAAATTTTACTGGCTTTGATTCGTCTTTTTTTCTTTATACCTGAGATCAATCAAATAGCTAGCTGCGTGCCTTCAATTTTGCTATGACATATTCCAGGGGTGTAGAGAGCGAAAGTGAACGTAACCCCTGGAGCATCGAGGATGGCAGCAAAGATGCGAAGGTGTCATTATCCTATTCCCAACTTGAAATTCCATTAATAAAATGGTCTATCATTGTGAAAGATTGAGCTTTGATTTTGTTCAATTACTAGTTTGAACTGATGCAGCACCATTTTGGTGGCAGAAGTTGTCTAACTAACAAATTCAATTGGGCATCTTTCAGAAGGTTTAAAATCAAGAACAAAAATTCCAAAATTTTACAATAAGCTTTGAAGTGATATTTTCAAAATCTACAGCACTGCTGTTATTAAAGCAGGCAACCTCATTATAATGTTAAATAGGGTATATCAATTTGATAGAGAAGAGAGACTGACTGATATAATATCAAGACTTACCAATTCCTGTCGGAAACCCAAACATTTTGTAGAAGGATATGGTCACAAAGTCTGGTTTGTAAATCCCAAGGTCAAGGCTAGATGTACAAACTAAGGATGCAGCATCCAGGACAGTGTACCACTGACCAGTGAGTTGTTTTTGGAAACAGAACTGACCACAATGTGCCTTACCTAACCAGGCAAGTGGATATTTAGTGCCAGAGAAATTGGACTGTGCAGGAAACGCAAACAGATTGTTTCCTCCGGGTTCACAATGTTCTGTCTTATAAATGAGACCTTTGTTTTCTTTTTTGATGTCGAGATCACAATCAAGCATGGATGTGTCAAGACAATAAATGACCCCTGTCCTGGTTGCCATGGTTTCGCGCATGCCTTGCACTGAAGTGTGATTGTCCAACAAGTAAATGAAGGAGCCCATAACTCTTTTAGGATTTTCGGAATTAAGTGAAATACTGTTATTTTGGTTGCTACTGGAGAAGGGGTCAAAGGTGAATGTCTCTGCCAGTAGTTTTAAAGCCCCGGTACATCCAGATGTAAAAACAACACTGTATTCCTCCTGGCTTGTATTAAAGTGCTGAAGTATCCTGAAGTTACAATTTATTAACAATTAAGTAACCAAANTTTTTTATGTATGAATTGATGCATTTGTGTTTGCTCTGGTTGTTGTCTTGTGTGCCAATAGTTTGCTTTCAAACATGACACCCCCTATATGAGCAGATGAAAGAAATTGTCCCCCCCCCCACCACCACCACCACCACCACCACCACCAGTGCCCACTCCTCATCCATCCAACCCATGTGACATGAAAACCATAATAGTTGCTACCAATAATGCCTAATTCTCCCTAATTAATTTTGAAGCTTGAAGACATTATTAAAAATTTATTGCTGGAGTGGTTCTTTCCTGTCAATTTGGACCGAATGAAATTGAATGACACAACAATTAATTTGCAGGATGATGTGCATTCTTATGTAAGATAATTTCATCAAGGGCTGTAATTCTTGAAAATTGTTTCAAGTAGCAGACCAGACTAGGCTTTGTTTCCCTAAATAAATGAAGGATCAAAAATTGTATTGATATGTAATGGAAACAATATACGGTATCAATCAAATATGAACAAGTTTTTACAATGTGTGCAAAGTCCCATTGAAATGTGTGCAGTACTTTAAGAGAAGAAGTCTTTACACAATCTTGTCTTTGGGCAGATGGATGGATGGACAGACATACATAAAGAGGACAGATGGACAGACATACATATAGAGGATGGATGGACAGAAATACATATAGAGGATGGATGGACAGACATACATATAGAGGATGGATGGACAGACATACATATAGAGGATGGATGGACAGACATACATATAGAGGATGGATGGACAGACATACATATAGAGGATGGATGGACAGACATACATATAGAGGATGGATGGACAGACATACATATAGAGGATGGATGGACAGACATACATATAGAGGATGGATGGACAGACATACATATAGAGGATGGATGGACAGACATACATATAGAGGATGGATGGACAGACATACATATAGAGGATGGATGGACAGACATACATATAGAGGATGGATGGACAGACATACATATAGAGGATGGATGGACAGACATACATATAGAGGATGGATGGACAGACATACATATAGAGGATGGATGGACAGACATACATATAGAGGATGGATGGACAGACATACATATAGAGGATGGATGGACAGACATACATATAGAGGATGGATGGACAGACATACATATAGAGGATGGATGGACAGACATACATATAGAGGATGGATGGACAGACATACATATAGAGGATGGATGGACAGACATACATATAGAGGATGGATGGACAGACATACATATAGAGGATGGATGGACAGACATACATATAGAGGATGGATGGACAGACATACATGTACAGGATGGATGGACAGACATACATATAGAGGATGGATGGACAGACATACATATAGAGGATGGATGGACAGACATACATATAGAGGATGGATGGACAGACATACATATAGAGGATGGATGGACAGACATACATATAGAGGATGGATGGACAGACATACATATAGAGGATGGATGGACAGACATACATATAGAGGATGGATGGACAGACATACATATAGAGGATGGATGGACAGACATACATATAGAGGATGGATGGACAGACATACATATAGAGGATGGATGGACAGACATACATATACAGGATGGATGGACAGACATACATATACAGGATGGATGGACAGACATACATATACAGGATGGATGGACAGACATACATATACAGGATGGATGGACAGACATACATATACAGGATGGATGGACAGACATACATATACAGGATGGATGGACAGACATACATATACAGGATGGATGGACAGACATACATATACAGGATGGATGGACAGACATACATATACAGGATGGATGGACAGACATACATATACAGGATGGATGGACAGACATACATATACAGGATGGATGGACAGACATACATATACAGGATGGATGGACAGACATACATATACAGGATGGATGGACAGACATACATATACAGGATGGATGGACAGACATACATATACAGGATGGATGGACAGACATACATATACAGGATGGATGGACAGACATACATATACAGGATGGATGGACAGACATACATATACATGATGGATGGACAGACATACATATACAGGATGGATGGACAGACATACATATACAGGATGGATGGACAGACATACATATACAGGATGGATGGACAGACATACATATACAGGATGGATGGACAGACATACATATACAGGATGGATGGACAGACATACATATACAGGATGGATGGACAGACATACATATACAGGATGGATGGACAGACATACATATACAGGATGGATGGACAGACATACATATACAGGATGGATGGACAGACATACATATACAGGATGGATGGACAGACATACATATACAGGATGGATGGACAGACATACATATACAGGATGGATGGACAGACATACATATACAGGATGGATGGACAGACATACATATACAGGATGGATGGACAGACATACATATACAGGATGGATGGACAGACATACATATACAGGATGGATGGACAGACATACATATACAGGATGGATGGACAGACATACATATACAGGATGGATGGACAGACATACATATACAGGATGGATGGACAGACATACATATACAGGATGGATGGACAGACATACATATACAGGATGGATGGACAGACATACATATACAGGATGGATGGACAGACATACATATACAGGATGGATGGACAGACATACATATACAGGATGGATGGACAGACATACATATACAGGATGGATGGACAGACATACATATACAGGATGGATGGACAGACATACATATACAGGATGGATGGACAGACATACATATACAGGATGGATGGACAGACATACATATACAGGATGGATGGACAGACATACATATACAGGATGGATGGACAGACATACATATACAGGATGGATGGACAGACATACATATACAGGATGGATGGACAGACATACATATACAGGATGGATGGACAGACATACATATACAGGATGGATGGACAGACATACATATACAGGATGGATGGACAGACATACATATACAGGATGGATGGACAGACATACATATACAGGATGGATGGACAGACATACATATACAGGATGGATGGACAGACATACATATACAGGATGGATGGACAGACATACATATACAGGATGGATGGACATAATTATATACATATACATGATGGATGGACAGACATACATATACAGGATGGATGGACAGACATACATATAGAGGAGAGTTGGACAGACATACACATACAGGATGGATGGACAGACATTCATATAGAGGACAGATGGACAGACATACATATAGAGGACAGTTGGACAGACATACACATACAGGATGGATGGACAGCCATACATATACAGGATGGATGGACAAACATACGTATACAGGATGGATGGACAGACATACATATACAGGATGGATGGACAGATATACATATAGATGTGGTTCTAGTTTAACCACCCCCGTTAAGTTCATTTGGGAAGGTATAAAAAAGACAAGTAGGATTAAAACAGTGAAACATTGATTTAGTATTTATATGCAAGTGTTGAAATATGACATTCCACATAAAAACATCAGTAATGAAATACAAATACTTTTCAAAACCACCATGAAGAATGACTTTACCAACATCTCATTGAACTATTAGTTAGCTGGTTGTATACAATAGAATGTCACCCAGAAATCAGTCTTTTTGGGTGAAAAAAAATAAATACAAATAATGTAATTTATCTAAACTCTGATTTACCTGTATCGTACTTGATCAACAACATCTGTTGCTAGGCAACTGCTCGGACTGTTGCTATGGGGATTTCCATAAAGGTTTTCAAGGAGGTCGTGCTGGAAAGCCTCCATTTGACTCCTGGCATACAGAGTTGTCCCAACATGTTCTATATACGTTTCTCCTAAAATTAGATATGTATAACATTCTTTTTCAGTCAAGTGAGCAAAATGCCAAAATACATAATACAAGAAACATTTGCAGAAAATAATAAACCTCCAGATGTTTGCTTTAAGGTTGAGAAAGATATAGGTATACAAAATATATGTATCTTCCTAAAATTGCTGATTATTTTGGCATATCACAAGCCTGAGATTGAATGGCTGTCATTCCCTAGCTAGGACCCCATCACTACATACTTCCCTCACTCGATCTCTCTCTCAATCAATAATATCCAATTAACCTTAATTGCCTCCCCCAATCTTTTTCCAAAAATGATAAAAAATAAATAAAATACAACTTAGCTGCATTCATCCATTTAACAGAATGTTAACATTTTTTTTGTTATCTTTTGTCCATTAGTTGAAATTTTGTCTTGTGTGTATGGATCTGATATTAGTAGGCAAATACTTCAAACCTGTAGTTTATGAGAGTGAGCATGATGTACATATAAAAAGCATTAGATAAAAAGAATCATGGACTGCCATATCCAGGATTAAGGGTGCATAATTTGATTGCTAAGATCTAAATATTGTTCAGTGAAGAGGTGGTTTATGATATATAAAAATCTAAAAGTTTGATAAATTCAATTTGCATCCTTACACACTCCCATCCCTATTTTAACCCATTCACCCATAAAGTTGCATTTGAACCTTACCTAATCGAAGACTGGGTAAGTCCAGTTCAAAATGTAGGGTTGAATGAGTTAAGGTCAGTCTCAGAGGTTGACTGCATCCAATTTAACTCATTCACCCCTAAAGTCTCATTTGAACCTTACCAAATCAAAGACTGGGCAAGTCCAGTTCAAAATGTAGGGTTGAATGAGTTAAGGTCAGTCTCAGGGGTTGACTACATCCAATTTAAGAAATGTTGGTCTTCTTTGACCAAAGTGTAACTTTTCAAATTAAAGTACATACACTCTTTGGAAAGAGAAATATAAATAGAAAACTGTTCTGGATGCTAGATATCCTTTTTAAAATGACATTTTCGACAAAATAAAATATTGCCTTTTCAATAAATGATCTAAAAACAATCACACTATCGACGAGATTTTTCTCAATTTATAAATGCTCAGAATTAAAGAAAATAAATTCGTCAAGCCAAACCTTCGTAGTGGGTAAAACAATAAACATTCATTATAGTTTCTGCTTCCAGGCGGTTTTTAGTGAGATTTATTGCTACAACAGATTTTCACAAGATGCAAGAATTCGTTTTTTCACTTACAAAGTTATTAATGTTCAAAGGGACAACTGAGGATCGTGAACCACCATTATGTAGTGGTAACCTAGTGATGGAAGCTGTGATATTTTAGAGTTATTCTGTTAATAGTGAAAACATGTGGGGAATAACGTGATCGTTCTTGACACTTCTGATAAATGGTAAATAATTGAGAATATGCGATCTTTATGTTTCCGATTCTCATAAATTCTAATTCTATTCCCATTTATTTCCTCTATCATAAAGCTATAATTCTGTTTCTCTATCTCAGCTTAAAACTGCTATGTAAAAACCATTGGGGAGCACTATACATTTGTATTTCAAATGGATTCTGTCATAAATTAATATTAAAACTTGTTAGGTTTGTTTCCTCAGATGTATTAACAGGATATATTGTCAGTTTATTTAATTAACAATTCATTTTACTACCTGACCCATTGAATTAATGAATTCTTAAAAAAAATGTTTCATCAACTCATTTGATGCTAAGGATTCTTGTACCACTGAAATAAACTGTTACCATGCATTAGCAACTGTTTTTTCCAGCATAACTGTAGCTTTGATAAATCATTTCTGAAAAGAAAGCCATACCTTGTTGGACATTTAAGAAAAATTAACAAAGAAAAATTAAACAAAATGTAATCAGCAAAAGTGTTCAGAATGTAAAATTTCAGCAGGGTAGCAGGGATTCGAACCCCAGACCACAGATTGTTGTACTATTGCTCTAACCTACTGAGCTACCTGGTCCGGGTAAGTGACTGGCACTATATAGCTATATTTGAAACAAAATTAAGGGGAGGCTACTGAGTATAAGAAATCCTTAAAGATCACTGTCTTATTGCAGGCAAATTATTAGAGAATTTCACAGTAGTAATTTCTTATATTGTCTTATCTCCCCTTAATTAGTTTTGGTGACTATTCGTGTGACCAGGCATCTCAACTGATTAGAGCTAACGACTAAAGCTTGGTGATCCCAGGTTTCGAATACCAGTGTGGTCCTGTTGCATGAACGCTAACATAAATTTGTTAATTAATTTTCTTTTTTTTTCATATCAGAAGGAGGTCTCCAACATCATCAAAGAGCACTCAGAATTTAAGTGATCAAAATGAAACAGTTTAGTTTTTTCTTTTGTGATGTCATTGAAAACTGATAACTTTTTTCTGCTTTATGCAATGAAGTTGAAAAATTACCTGTCCTGTTAATATGTCTTCTTTGAATAATCCTCCGTCTGTACATTTTAAAACTTATGTGTACACTAAACATAAATGTCGCTGTTTTTGATATTTCAAGCATCTTTAATTTATTTCAGGTTGAATCCACCAAATGTCGATGCTTTCTGATTCATCTTTTATCAAAAAGTATATTCAAATACAGAAATTGTATACAGAAAGTTGTTGAGGTGTACTTGTAAAATATATATAGCAAGCTTAGTTTAGATCAGATGTATTTGTGACTTTCGGTGAGGGTTCACTGCACTCCACATAAACAGCCACTAAAATGTCTGATCTACTTTTGTACTGCAAGCACACACTACATCACAAAGTCTCTTCAACTGTTGTTTATTGTTATAATGAGGGAATATCTATTACTGATTCCAGTCATCTTTAACTCTTAAAATTGTTGTACTGATTGACGCCTAATCGAGAGAATCGTACATCAGAGAACATTAATTCAATAACAGTTAAATACAATGACATAAAAACCTGATTTATCCTAAGTACAGAAATAATTAATCCTGCTTTGAGTTCACAGTCAATCACATTTAATGCTATTGAGCATCACGGTGAGTATTTCATAGTTGTGCGTCCAAAGTACCCATAAAAATCACGTCAGAGCGTCACAGTTTTTTGTGAGGGTACCTTTATTGTACATTAACAGACATTTTTATTCATTGGCGTAAATTTGTATTCATCGACAGCGAGAGTATAGGTCTCCATTATTGCGAGTGGTTCGACCAATTCGTCCTCAGTTTTTGCCCATTCTGTAGGCGCAAAACCCATCAGCCCTAAACCCGCTTGATTAGACAAACGCTTAACATGACAATTTTTTTGCCCTTTTAAATCAAGTGAGGGCTCCGAGTCATCAATTTCTATCTCTGCTTGACTGGTCATGGGAGAAGATCAGTTGTAGGATAAGAGCTGGTTCCTGATTGGTCCTCGATTCTCACCATTTTGACAAAGTGATAAAACAATATAATGGCTACCAGTAAAGATTTTTTCTTGATATTCTCCTCGAAAAAATTCTACAATGGAAATGTTATCTGACGAAACATAACAAATCTCAATAACTATCAAAATATTTTGTTAAAAGACAACAGGCTGTATAGTCAGATTACCCTAACCAACGTTTATCGGAGAACGTGATGTTTTGAACTTTCATTAAAAGCTATCAGCATTCACCTGCTGTACAAATCTGAAAGTTGTGGAAAGACTTCACATGATGAAACATAAATTGGAAATCACGCAATAAAAATCTAAACGGAGAAATTTATTTTAGATATCAGAAAACCTCAATATTATAACAGTTATACAATAATTTATAGAGTTCTTTTATCTATCACTGTAATTATCAAATAAAATTGCTGTTCTTTTCTTTCAAATGGATAACTAACAGGATGACATTCAATGTACTCATCAACCATCAAATTTCGCTAATCATTGAAATGATTTCATTGTCTCAGTTTTCTGCCACCATGCCTCTATAAATAAAAACCTGCATTAAACTATCACAGTAAACATTTGTTTTCAGCACAACTGACAATGAATGTAAAACTATTCTTACTACTTCTAAAACAAAAAACGGTTGATATTTTCCCATCTGAATAAATAATATTCTGCAACATAATATAAGCATTTAATGGAACAGTGACAGATCCAGAGACCTATCTGGGGGGGTTTCCAAATGTCCAGGGCGGGTTTCCTAGTGGGAAAAAAATGAGGAAAATGGTGAAAATACATGATTTTTAAAGAAAATTCTCATATGCCTGTATCCCATTAATACACTTACACTCAGTTCACCCATGTCTGCCCCCCTATATCCCATCAATAGCGGTATACAGACAGTTAACCGTTGTCTGACCATCTGTATCCCATTAAGGGACTAACAGACAGTTAACCTACGTATTGCCCCCTGTATCCCATTAAATGACTTACAGACAGTTAACTAATGTCTTGCCCCCTGTATCCCATCAGCTGACTTACAGACAGTTCACCCACGTCTTGCCCCCTGTATTCCATCAATGGACTTACAGATAGTTCACCCATGTCTTGCCCCCTGTATCCCATCAATAAACTAACAGACATTTCACCTACTTCTGGCCCCCTGTATCCCATCAATTGACTTACAGATAGTTCACCCATGTCTTGATCCCTGTATTCCATCAATGGACTTACAGATAGTTCACCCATGTCTTGCCCCCTGTATCCCATCAATTGACTTACAGACAGTTCACCCACGTCTTGACCCCTGTATCCCATCAATGGACTTACAGACAGTTTACCCATGTCTCGCCCCTTGTATCCCATCAATGGACTTACAGACCGTTCACCCACGTCTTGACCCCTGTATCCCATCAATAGATGTATACAGTCTACAGACATTTTACCTACGTCTGGCCCCCTGTATCCCATCAATAGACTAACAGACATTTTACCTACGTCTGGCTCCCTGTATCCCATCAATAGACGTATATAGACAGTTCACCCATGTCTTGCCCCCTGTATCTCATCAATAGACATACAGACAGT